GCCAGTCCCCTGATGACACTCTCCCCACCCCGTGCTGAAGGGGCCAGTCCCCTGATGACACTCTCCCCACCCCGTGCTGAAGGAGCATGGCTGCAGTGTGAGTCTCACCGGTCCCGCAAGGACAGACCCAGGCCCCCACGCCAGCCCCGCCGCCCCCTGGCTATGTGCCCTGAGCCGTCACTCCCACATCCATCTACTTCACAAACAACGTTTCCATGTGCTTGGCACTACGCTGAAATGTTTTGTTTGCAATTTCTCATTTAATTGTCCCAGAATCCCATGCAATTCATACTATTACCTCCATCTCATAGAATCGCAACCTGCTTTCTGACAGAGCCAGGATTTAAACGCAAATCTGTCTCAATTTAGCAATCAGACTTTACCGTTCCTCTCCATGAGCACACGATAAGGTGCTCTTAAGCCATGCCTAGCATTACTTACCAGCTTCAACACAAAGTGTCTCCCAGCCCCCACCCCCCTCAACACTGTGCAGCCTTGGCCTCTGCAGCTGCTACATGCTGGACGCCACAGCTCGGCCGCGAGCCCCGGGAGCAGGCACCGCGGCTACGACAGGCATGGGGTCGGGCACGGGCGCGCGTGCTCCGTTCGTACTTCCTGGGGGAACGATTACTCAACAGACTGAGCGTCCCCTGCATGAACACCACAGTCAGCTCCCTGATCAGCTCCCCACTGACTCTGGGCCAGGCAGGGGCCTCTCGGCAACTAAGACTTCACCATCAGGTCTATGTTCTGTCAAAGGACCACTGAGCAAGCACCACGGAGTTAAATACCATGTTAAGAATATGATTTCAAGGACATTTTTTTAAAAAACTGAAATAAGACCTGCACTCAACTTTCAACTCTTCCTTTCTCAAAGAATATAAATGTTATATATGAGCGAGGAAAGTAATACACTTCAAGAAGTTATACTAAAATCATCTGATTGGCACCAATCACAGACCTTATTGAAACAGAAACGCAGAAAGGAAGCTGTCATGCCTAGTTCCCAGCATGGCCCACCATGCGGAAGGGGGAGCACCTGCAAGTAGGTAGCGGACACATGCCAGCGCTCCTGTGACGGGTCACCCAGGCCTCCGAGCCTCGCAGAAACAGGGCAAGTGACTAACATTCCCGAGTACCTGATGCCATTTCTTCAGTTTGTTGTTCCTTCTCTTCTTCTCGGGTCTCATCTTCAGCATTAAGAAGCGCTAACACAATATCGTTAACGGTTCTGTAATTCTCCCCAGTGGTCAGGATCTTACTCTGCACCGTCTGCCTCACCAGACTTCGACTGAAGCCCATCTCCAAGGCGGCCTTCACCACGGGGGTGTTCATCATGACTGCATCTTCTGAAGAACTTTCTCCAGGGCCAAAATGGACAACTATTTGAAAAGACATGTACCAATGCTTAATGCCACAAATATCAAAATACAGAGAAAAATCATGACTACAGCACAGTCTTTACTCTCATACTGTTCATATCCTGGTAAGCCACATGAGCTATTCATGCACCAATTACCTGTAATTCCCACAAAACTATGAACACAAGAGGATCAAATGAGTGTAACAATATGCTCTACTTTTTAAAATATCACTTCCCGCATTACATCTTGGAACCTACTCAGTGAGAGACTCTGTAAGGACAGGGCTTAGGAATCTATGTCTTCTTGAAAAATCACAAAATGGGGGCGCCTGGGTGGCACAGTTGGTTAAGCGTCTGCCTTCGGCTCGGGTCATGATCCAGGGTCCTGGGATCGAGTCCCACAGCAGGCCCCTTGCTCAGCAGGGACCCTGCTTCTCCCTCTCCCTCTGTCTGCCTGTCTGCCTACTTGTGATCTCTGTCAAATAAATACATAAAATCTCTAAAAAAATAAATAAACACAATAAAATCCCAAAATGAGTCTGATGTACAGTCATTTTTGGGAGCCAATATGCTCTAGGACTGTAGGTACACCCCAGGAAAGCAGGGGAAATCAACAAAGACCTCATTAGAGCTGACGTCAGAATTTGGACTTGAAGGATAAACGGGATCTAGAGAGGCAGACGGATAAACCAGGGGGAATAACACCGATGGAGGGAGTGAAGTGGAAGATTCGTTCACGCAAAGTACGTCTAACAACGTAGTAACAAAACGTGGCTGAAGCAGTCACGTGACTGTGATCACGACAGACGCTCTGAGAACAGAAAGCTGTGTGAGGTGACTGAAAGAAACGAGGAGGGATGGGGACCAGTGACATGGGGCGATCGGGGAAGCACTTTCTGGGAACTGGGTCAACTCTGACCAGTACGGCACGTCGGCGGAAATTACAAAAAGCCGTCATCCTTCAAGACGCCTGACTGCCCTCTGCTGGACAAGTGCTCTAATAAACACGACTGCAGCACGGCCACCCACACACGGCTCACGGCTCAGGCGCAAGCCTGTGGGGAGAGGCAACAGCACAACAAGCGCATGAGCCGTAAGAAGGATCATGGGAATGTCTGAGAGGAATCTTCTAGGCAACAAGAGCAGCACAAAAGCCCGATTCGAGACAAAATCATGACATTCAAGAACTAGAAAGGGGCGCCTGGGTGACTCAGTCGTTAAGCACCTGCCTTCGGCTCAGGTCACGATGCCGGGGTCCTGGGATCGAGCCCTGCATCAGGCTCCCTGCTCAGCGGGGAGTCTGCTTCTCCCTCTCCCTCTGCCTGCCGCTCCCCCCGCTCATGCTCTCTGTGTCAAATAAATAAATGTTAAAAAAAAAAAAAAAAGAACTAGAAATAAAGTGGTGAGTGGCAGTCAGAAAGGAGGGTGATCCCCAGACCGTGTAGAGCCAGTTTATTTTTCACTCTAGGTGTGACAGAATGTTCTGCAGGCATTTGAAGTGAAGAATGATAAAACCTGGTCTGTGTTTTCAGAAGATGATTCTGGCAGCTCTGTGATAAACGTTCATGATGTGAGATGGAATGAGACCGGCCAGGCCATCACGAAGATGGTGACTGCAGTATGGACTGGGCTGACAGTGCCCTGTGGAGAAGGACAGACACACGAAGATTCTGGGTTGATGCCTGACTTGAGTCAACTTTCTGAGCTCAGTAGGTGGGTACCATTAACTGAGATGGGGAAGGCCAGACAAGATCAAATCTGAGGGATCCAAGACAGGAGAAAAGGTCTGCTCTGATCGTATTAACCCTGAAACACCCATTATAATCAAGTAGAGATTAAATATGTAGTTGGACATGCCAGCCTGGAGCTAAGGAAATGAAGAAATAAATTTGGGCCAAGTGGTGAGAAGTACTCCATCATTTATGGTTTGAAAAAGGAGCCACGAAAGGAGACTGTTCATGATTAACCAGAGAAATAGAGGAAAACCAAGAATGTGGTGTCCAGGAAGCCAAGTGAAGGTGTCTTAAGAAGGATGCAGGAAAGTCATGTCAGCAAGACTACCAAGTAAGATGTCCCCCGCTTGTACTGTGACTCAACAGCAATTTGGAATACACCTGCAAACAACGGTGCCTTTGTGAAAGCTTTGAGATCCAGGCAGAAGATTATGAAACCTCCATATCCTCAGGACTTGGCTACAGGTCCACTTGGCTTGATCCTGTCACCAGCACCCTACACAAAAGAATGAGGACCCAGGCCTACCCATGCTTTAGCATACGGACACACAGACCTCAGTTCCAGCTGCAGACACTGAAATTGCCTGTGAACTGCATCCCACCATAGTCCAGGGAGCCCCTGGAGGTAAATCCACCAAATTCAGTCAGAATGCAGAATTGGAAGGACCAACCTATCCCAGCCTCAATCTGCAAACAGTCCTGCTAGCACAGGGACGCAGCAGGACACACTGGCCAGTGCACACCTGGAGCTCCTGTCTGCGCCTCAAGAGATCCTGCAACAGCTCCAGCCTCTCCAAATGCCATCAGGAAGCAGCCCTGCCCACCAAAGCACCTGGCGGTAGACATGCGCACCTGCGCCTCCACAGCCAAGTCTGCAGACCTCAATTTTGGCTGTAGAACCAGAAACAGCCCTCAGGCTCAGTTCCCGCCCCTCTCAGCCATGGTCCAGGACCCCTTCCTGCTCCAGACAGGAGTCCTTGCACAGACCTAGGTGGAGCCACACCCATCTGCATATCTGGTAACAGTCCTGCCGTCTGTGGACCCTGCAGCAGATCTGGATCCCAACATCCTGTAGAACAATGTACTAGAGACAGTACCACCCATCAAGGGACCAGACAGAAACCACGCCAGCCTGAGTGCTGGTAACAAGCCCACCAAGCACAGATCCCACCACAGACCAAGCAACAGCCTCAAAACTGGTTCCAACCATGTATCCTCCAAGGGAACTGACAGGAAAAGGTCTTTTATCTGCCAAAACCAGTCTGTAAAGACTAGAAGAGGTGCTTCTTTCTTCAAATGCACAGACACCAATGAAAGGCTGCTCATATCATGCAAAACAGGCAATAGGACAACACCAGAGGAAACCAAGAAAGGTCCAGTAATTTACCCCGAAGAAATGGAAATCTACAATCTGCCTGACAACAAACTAAATATTATCATCTTATACTCAACGAAATTCAAGAGAACAAAGATAGGCAACTAAAAGAAATAATAATACATTTCAGAAATACATTTCAGGAGTTTAATATAGAAAAAGAAACCACAAGAAAGAACCAAACAGAAATCCTCGAGCAGAAGAATACAACAGAACTGGAAAACTGAGGCACGAGCTTCAACAACTGATCTGACCACAGAGAAGAAAGTATCAGAGAACTCGAAGGGAGATTATTTGAAATCAGCCAGTTATAGGAACAAAAACAAAAAAGAATGGAAGAGTGAAGAAAGTCTATGCAAGTTATGAGACACCGCCAAACAAATGAACATCCACCTCATAGGAGTCCCAGAGGAGAAAAAGGGGCATAAAGTTTATTTAAAGACGTAATAGCTGAAAATTTCCCAAATCATGGGAGAGATTTTCCAGTTCTGTTATTGTATTCTCCAGCAACAATAAAATCAAAGAACCACAAGCATGATCAACCCAAACATTATTCTCAAATGTGTAATAGTCAAAATGTGAAAAGAGAGAGAGAGAACTTCGAAAACAGCAAGAAAAAAATGACTGCTCACATACAAGGGACACCCTCAGTCTCTCCACACACTGCCCGACAGAGATCGTGCAGGGCAGCTGAGACGGACTCGGAAAACAAAACCACACCAATAATAAAGGCAAAACCATCCTTCAGAAATGAAAAAAAAAGATAAGACATTCCAGAAAACCAAAGTTGAAGGAGTTATTCAACATTAAACCTGCCCTACAACCAATGCTAACAGGTTATGTGCAAGCTGAAATGGACACTAAATAGCAACATGGAAACACACCCAAGAGTATAATTTCCTGGTAAACGTAAATGTGGAGTCAAATTCAGCATACCCTCTACTATTACTGCGTCTCTAGCGTGAAAGTTAAAAAACCAATAATATTAGTAACTACAGCTAAAATAACTTGTTAATGGATCCATATCAGAAGACATCAACAGTGCAAAATGTGCGGTGAAGATAAGTCGAAGTCTTAAGTTGTTAACCAGCGTAAAGCAACGACTCCATCTCTTAAGATGTTTTAGGTGAAAATCACAGTGAACACAAAGACAAAACCTATAGTTAAAGCACACTATGACAGAAAATAACTAAAAAAGGACTACAGCAAGAGAAGAAATGAACAAAGGAACTGAAAAAAAATCATTATAAGAAGTCTTAAGAGGACCGGTATTTACTTTAAAATGTAAATGAAATAAACTACATTCTCTAATCAAAAGACACAGAATGGCTAAATATATTTAAAGAAACAAGACCCAGCAATATGCCTCCTACAAGAGACTCTGGCAAGCTGAAAAGTGAAGGGATGGAAAAAAATATTCCATGCACATGGCAACCAAAGAAATGAAGAGTGGCTGCCTAACAAGTTAGACTTTCGGCCAAATATCAGTGAGAAGAGACAGAGAGGGTCGCTACATCGGGACGAAGGGGCCGGTGCACCAGGAGGACACAACAAGTGCACAGATGTGTGTGCTGAACACCGGAGCACCTAAATATTTAAAGCAGGGGCACCTGGGTGGATCTGCTGGTTAAGCTGACTCTTGATTTCAGCTCAGGTTGTGATCTCAGGGTCAAGGAATTGACCCCTGCCCCAGGCTCTGTGCCCATGGGGGATTCTGCTTGAGATTCTCTCTCTCTGCCCCTCCCCCAGCTCTCTCTCTCAAATAAATAAAATCTTTAAAAAATATATTTAAAGCACATATTAACAACACTAAACTGAGGAAAAGAGACTAATACCTACAAGCAGGGGGCTTCAGTAGCCCACTTTCAATGTTGGCCAGAGCACCCAGACACAAGATTAATAAGGAAACCA